CGGTGGGCTTTGGGGGTGCTTGAGCCTGGGCTTCGGAAGCTTTGGCGGCGTAGGAAATGCCAGGCGAAACTTTGTTTTGAAAGCTGGCTGTTTTGGCTTTTTATTGCTTTTGGGCAAGGAAGTTTGGGTTTTTGGGGCAAGAAAAGTAGCTTGCCGGATGGGGACCCTCGCAGTTGATGCATTTATCCGGGATGTCTCTCGGCTTTTTGCAATCTGTGTAGAAGTGTTGTTGGGCGCACTTGTGGCAGAAGGGTTTTGCCATGCAGTTTGCCATCGTGTGGCCGAATTTTTGGCACCTCTTGCCTTGAGGAATGTGCCTGATATTTGTTTGGGGATGCCTTTGAGGTTTGATCGCGACTGAAAGGTTTAGGAGGTACTTGACCTCAAAAATGCTGGTTTGTTTCTTTAGGAGGAGCATTTTGACCATATTGGTCGCCGTTCTGTGGTTTCCCATTCTGTAGAATTGGATTTCAGAAGGGGTGAAGCCTAGTTCTTCGAGTTCAGCCTGAATTTCGGGAAGTGCCATTTGGCAATGGCGATCAACTTTTTGTCCTCAAGGACGGTGTGCGTGTGGAACTCAATTTTTTCTCGAGCGAGAAGCTTGGTGATGGCTCTGTGGTCATTTGTAGTTTTGGGGTGGATTTGGATGCCCAACGCTACTTTTTTGGGGTTTGTAAAGGTGCAATTATCTTGCACAAGAAGATTTCTGGCCTTAGTCCATTTCGCAGTATTCCTAATGACGATAGGAATCGCGGACTTGGGGGGTTGGGGTGCCGAAGTGGTGGCAGGGCCTGAGGGCTGGGGTGCCGAAGTGGCGGCTAGAGCTGGGGCAGGCTGAGGGGCTTTAGAGGGTTGGGGGGCTTGCGCATGCTGGACCATGTGCTCGTGGAGTGCCGGGTTAGAAGTTTTGGGGATATTGAGCCTTGGCTTGGCTTTCAGGAGCGGGAAGTTGTCGACTTCCATCTTTTCAGCTGGGTGGCTGCTGGGGGCTTGTTTATGCGCCTCGACGACGGCTGAGAGCAGGAGCGAAATCTTGTGATCTTGCTCTGCGAGTTTTTGGGCGAGCAGTTGATTTTGTTTTTTTAAGGAGGTGACACTCTCCTAAAGCTTAGAATTTGCCAAGCGAAGCGACTGAAGGTCGGCGGCCTTGGTTTTGGCTTTAAAAGAAAGCAGGGTGCGGGGTTCTTGGGCAGGGCGTCTTGCAGGCTTACCTTGATTAGTTTGTGATTCGTTCGACTCGTCGCTTTCGGACCCTGAAGGGCTCCGCTCGCGAGAGCTCATTTTGTGGTTTGAAGTTGCGCTGGAGGAAGATGCTTCTGGTATTTCAAAAGCTGGCAATGTCGATCACAAAATACACTCGGGAACACTATCCTGAACGGCACTGCACTGAGGGGGTTTCCGGAGCCCGAAAGAGGGACCTGCACGTGCCTCTGAGGGAGACACGAGCTCGAATTTCTTTCTTGGTAGTCTGGGGGAGGGTAAAACACACACTTAGTGAAGCTTCAACCTCGAGGTTGGACCGCGAGTGTGAAACACTTTGTAGCAAATAAAAAAACAGTCAAACAGTGGATCGTTTGAAGAGCTGTTGTTCATCTGACGAGAGCTGATGAGCAACTGTGGAGTGAGCGATTGAGTCCGCTCTGGCGGCAGCGTATTCGGCTACATCTTAAGTTTGGTTCTCATGAGTCCGGAATGCTTTGCGGAAAGTGCGCGCGCAGCCTACTACTACCATTACTACGAGCGGAAAAATTAACGCAGTATTTACAAGAAAACATAATAAAATATTCAAAGTGACAACACCGCAAATGAGGGCATATTTTATTGTCAAATTTTGGTAAGTGGAAATAGACTAGTCAACGAGTGATAATTGTGGTATTAATAAACTGATATCTACACTTAGAAAAAATTGTGCAAAGTGGTTTCGTTTGCAGGAAAATGAACCTGAATTTTTCTAACCTTTATTCGTCTTGTACATTGAAAAGTAGTGCCCATGGTAGGAAATTAATGTTAAACACAATTCATTGTGTATATTTTCCTGACTGTATTTCAACTTAATTCAAAATAAATTCCTGGGTTTCAGTCGATTTTATTGTTTACCATTTAAAATGTCACAAAAACGTTTCGGTGTTTTTCTCCACTATCATCAGTTTGTATGTATGATTGTTTCTACCTTCACATTTGGCAGGCCACTGAGGTGCAGTCAGAAACTGTGAAGGTAGAAACAACCATACATACAAACTGATGATGGTGGAGAAAATCACCGAAACGGTTTTGTGACATCAAAGCGGCAATTATTTTCTTGTCACTAACAGATAGTTACAGATAGACAGCGTTTGTCAATAATAACAAGCATTTGTCAAACTGTGGCTTATTTTGAAGCTTCTTTCACAAAATGTACAAAAATGTAAACGAACAGCGAATTTGCGAATATGCCATTAGTTGTGGGAAAATGCCACAGTAACATAGCAGAAGCTGTAAGAACTTACACCAGCAAAGAGCTACACAATAGACGAGTGGCCCGAAATGGACGCAGATAGTGGACAATCTAAAGGTGCTCGGTTTCCAGACCTAGAGGAACAGGTATTGGAGATTATTCCAGCTGAGCCTTTCAGGAGTACTTGAAGCATTGCACAACAACTGTACTTTCTCAAACACCGGATACTTAATTGTCCCGAGAACTCCCCCGAGGAAGGGCCTACATTCCTACCATGTATGTAATATGCACAGGACACTAGAACACCTTAAATATCTGATCTTCCGAGCACCGGTTCAAATTGAGCAGCAGTTAATTAACCGAACTTGAGAAGCTGCTCAAAATATGAGCTCAGACTCAAAGTGATTGGGACACAAAGATGTTGGGAGTGAAACGGGCAGGACTTCTTGCTCTTGAGAACACTTGGGCTGTTTTGTCGCAACACTGACCGCAAGGTGACACCGTTGTCCTAACCTCAACGCATGTTATTTTCTCTTTTATTTTCTTTGCTTCATGTTTATCCATGGTTACCGGAGTTTTTAATAATTACGAAGGAACAGGTATTTACGTAATGTTAATTAGGCAGATTACTTTGAAAAACATTGTTGCCATACTTCTGACCTAGTTTTTTTGCGAATATCCGAGTTTTTAATAACATTTAATATCTTTTACTATTTTTTGTGTACTCCCAAGACACCCCTAGACAACACCTCCAGAGTAATGACACCAATTTTGAATCACTCTGTAGATATCTGCCTGCTGTTTTTTATATGTGTGTGACAGTTGGTGGCGCAATGTATATTATCTAACGCTCTTCTAAAAACCACTGAACGAGTTCATAATTTGTGTTTATGGTATTGTTCCGAATATTACTTACTGGTTTCCTGTGTACTTAAAAAGCTTGAATACATACTGAAAATGAACTGTTTGTAATATTTAATGTAATTTCACTTTATGCTACATATGTTTCAATTTTGCCTCATTTTCCTCTTGTGTAACAATTAGGGACTGCCGTCGGTCTAGCCACACTGCAATCTGCAATTCCTCAGCTGGTACAATACTCTTAGAAAGTGACGGCCAACAGGTGGTTTGGGTACCACAATTGCACGTAAGCGGCTAGCGGGCCAACGCAGAAACCACGCTTCTTTTCTTAACGAAAGCCGCTTTGTTGTTGATTGGAGGTGTCAGGTCTGCTTTAATTAATTTACCACAGAGTTGGATTTCAATAGTTTCTCAAGGATCAGAGTAKTGTTTTGCCGTACATGCCMACTTGAGTACAGCTTTCAGTCAAGCTAGTTATTATTTACAACCACAGGATTTTTACTATTTTTGTCGATAAGTCGATGTTTAAGTTCGGAGTTGAACTTTGGGATCACTGGTGCGGTGATCCCCATCCTCTCGCTACTTGGAAGGTGGTTGGTCCAAGGAACAGAGTAGTGGTTTCGGAATGTAGTAGGTTAAAAGTCGGAATCGACTGGAGGTAAAAT